ACACTGACTTGCTCTAATTCTGTTATTCATTCTTCATTTATTTGTAGTGAGATCACACCAAGTGATACTTATAAATTAACTTGGGGAGAATCTGGATCTTTGTAACATCACTTCTAATTATTTCTAATTTCTATTTCTAACTTCTAACATTATTTCTAATAATTCAGGAGGTCTTTTCATTTTTATCTGCAATTATGCACCTTCCAGGAACACTTTAGCTCTCACTTGGTGAGTGATAGGTGCTCAGTCATGCCTGACTCTTTGCAACCCCATGGACTGTAGCCTACCAGGTTCCTCTGTTCATGGAATTCTCCAGGCAAGATTACTGGAGTGGGCTGCCATTCCCTTCTCCAGGGGGGCTCTCACTTAGGCCAGTTACTAACTTTGATGATGTAAACGTTTTTCTCTTTTCCTCTTTGTCTTCTGGTGAACTGCCTTGCTGCCACTGCTGCTGCTAAGTCACTTCAGTCGTGTCCGACTCTGTGTGACCCCGTCCCTGGGATTCTCAGGCAAGAACACTGGAGTGGGGTGCCATTTCCTTCTCCAATGCATGAAGGTGAAAAGTGAAAGTGAAGTCGCCCAGTCGTGTCTGACTCTTGGCGACCCCTTGGACTGCAGCCTGCCAGGCTCCTCCGTCCATGGGATTCTCCAGGCAAGGGTACCGGAGTGGGGTGCCGTTGCCTTCTCCGGGTAAACTGCCTTAAGAACATACAAAAGTCCTCTGTTCGACGCACTGATTTACAAGTTGCTACTGCATCAGGTTCTCTCATTGTTTGCGGCCATGTTTTCATTCGTCCTTCTCAGCTGTCTAAATATTAGTAACCTCTGGACTGAAAAATATTTTCGCCTCTCCCTGTCACATTGTGCCTTAAAGTGCCTTCGGTTTTCTAACATCAGTGGCACTGTGATGGCTAAGGGTGCTAAAGTTTATCATTCTGTCATCAGCTGCTTTTTTAAGATTTTTTTTTTTTTGATGAGGACCATTTTTTAAAATCTTTATTGAATTTGCTACAAATATTGCTTCTGTCTTATATTTTGAGTTTTTTGGCCATGAGGTATGTGGGATCTCAGCTCTCTGACCAGGGATCCAACTCACAGCCCTGCATTGGAAGGTGAAGTCTTAACCACTGGACCGCCAGGGAAGTCAGAACTTTGTCCCCAGTTTCTGCTAATTAGTAGTTACATCAATACGTTTCACTACACTCAGGATGTTTCCTTTCCTTCCTTCCAGCCTCCCTTCCTTGGCAAGACACTTGAGAAGCGTCTGGTACACTGTCACCCTTCCTTGTAAGTCAGCTGTGATTGGTCCTCATCGCAGAGATGCCTAGATTCATTACTTATCAGGAGTGGTGACACTGACTTGCTCTAATTCTGTTATTCATTCTTCATTTATTTGTAGTGAGATCACACCAAGTGATACTTATAAATTAACTTGGGGAGAATCTGGATCTTTGTAACATCACTTCTAATTATTTCTAATTTCTATTTCTAACTTCTAACATTATTTCTAATAATTCAGGAGGTCTTTTCATTTTTACCTGCAATTATGCATCTTCCAGGAGCACTTTAGCTCTCACTTGGTGAGTGATAGGTGCTCAGTCATGCCTGACTCTTTGCAACCCCATGGACTGTAGCCTGCCAGGTTCCTCTGTTCATGGAATTCTCCAGGAAAGATTACTGGAGTGGGCTGCCATTCCCTTCTCCAGGGGGGCTCTCACTTAGGCCAGTTACTAACTTTGATGATGTAAACGTTTTTCTCTTTTCCTCTTTGTCTTCTGGTGAACTGCCTTGCTGCCACTGCTGCTGCTAAGTCACTTCAGTCGTGTCCGACTCTGTGTGACCCCGTCCCTGGGATTCTCAGGCAAGAACACTGGAGTGGGGTGCCATTTCCTTCTCCAATGCATGAAGGTGAAAAGTGAAAGTGAAGTCGCCCAGTCGTGTCTGACTCTTGGCGACCCCTTGGACTGCAGCCTGCCAGGCTCCTCCGTCCATGGGATTCTCCAGGCAAGGGTACCGGAGTGGGGTGCCGTTGCCTTCTCCGGGTAAACTGCCTTAAGAACATACAAAAGTCCTCTGTTCGACGCACTGATTTACAAGTTGCTACTGCATCAGGTTCTCTCATTGTTTGCGGCCATGTTTTCATTCGTCCTTCTCAGCTGTCTAAATATTAGTAACCTCTGGACTGAAAAATATTTTCGCCTCTCCCTGTCACATTGTGCCTTAAAGTGCCTTCGGTTTTCTAACATCAGTGGCACTGTGATGGCTAAGGGTGCTAGCATTTCCTATTAGCTGAAACAAACTCTTTGGTAAAGTGTCACAAGCTTTCAGCTAGTCTTTGGGAGCTTCCTGAGCATACTGAAGCTGGCAGTCCTGATTTTTGGAGCACTTCTTGGAATCTTCTCAAACTGTCCCTGTCCTAAATATATGTCAAGTTTATTATGTATAATTCTTATGGATGAACAATTGTCAAGAAATATATAAATATATATTTTCCTATTCCTGAGCAAGAAGAACCACTAGCAAATTTACTGAAGATTTTTTCTTATGCGTGTACTCAATTTTAATTGAAACATTATCTGCTAGTGACTGGTCATTCAGTCGTGGCCAACTCTTGGTGACCCCATGGACTGCAGTCCACCAGGCTCCTCTGTCCATGAAATTCTCTGGGCAAGAATACTGGAGTGGGTTGCCATTCTCATCTCCAGGGGATCTTCCCAACCCAGGGACGGAACCTTGGTCTCCTGTATTGTAGGCGGATTCTTCACCGTCTGAGCCACCGGGAGAGCAAGATTTTTCTTTATGAGTTTACTCTCTAGATTTTGGCTGAAACGCATCTGCTAAGCTTGTATTACATGCATAATCGGTCCCACACCTGACTGCAGCTCTGCGGGGGCTGACGTTCTAGTGAGAAGCCCAAAGGTCAGTACGTTCAAAACAGAACAGATACTTATAACGACATTAAGATCCTTCTGGGTTTGGTTCTGAATATAATATTGATCTGGTCAACATTCTGCTGCAAGCTTCCAGTGGAATGAGACATGCGGAAGTTCACCATTCTATCAGCAACTTCAGAATCTAGAATGCATCATTCAAACCAATGGCCTTTAAAACTCCTCACAGGCAAATTCAGGAATTTGCTAAATCCACCATAAGCCGAGTTATGATTCCAAAATGCCTCCTGGGTACTACTGTGCCCCAGTAAATTTAAGTCTAAAAAAATTGGTCTTGAGCTTTTACCCTTAAGTATCTAAAGCTTTTGGTATTTAACAGACTTGTTTTTTTAGATTAAAAAAAAAAAAGCCATTCTTTGTTATATAAAAATCTCAGACCATGTATATGTTGTGAACTATATAATTAAAATATGTAACAGAAGGAAAGAATGATAAGGGGTGCATGTAACCGCAGTAAAGAAGCGAGTTTTCACAAGAAGAAAATATGAATGTTTCGCACATCTCAGCTGCCAGTGCAGGCCTGATGGGTGCCCAGGTGGGGTACAGAGTGGGGCCTGGGAGCCTGGCCTGTGTGGACACTGCCCACCTGTGATCTTTGCGTATCATTAACCAGGAGATGCAGAAACCATGAGTCCCATCAGAAACCAGAACCCTGACTTTTTCTAAGACAAAAATGTAAGGCATCAATACGACTGGCATTCAAACATGGGGCTGAGCGACCCATCAGTAGAGGTGGCTGCAGACCCGCATCTCGCGTGGGAGAGCCTGCTGCTGTCTCTTCACTGCCTTCTTCCTGAGGGCATCACAGCTTCTTTTAATAATAAGCAGTAAATAAACAGAACCATGAAGTCCTCCCTTTTGCATGAATCCATGGACACAGAGCACAAAGGGAGAAGGAATCTCTGGTCTCCTTGGTCTTATTTCAGATGAGACTTCGGGTAGAGCTTTGCAGAGAAATGATTCATGATGATTCACCCTGGATTAAGTGAGTCGGCATGATTAAGGCTTACTCACAGGGCTCTGCACCACGTTTTTAGGGGAATAAAGGCCAAACTGGAAAACGGTTGTGGGTGTTCCCACGTACAGAGGTGAGCGTGGCTACCCCCCACCTCTTACACATGTGCAGAGAGCAGGAACATGACGCCAGAACCTCCGCGATAAGCATCTTTTCTACTCACACAGCTCTGGGGGTCTGCTGCCATCTTGACGTTAAAGATAAGGAAACCAAAGCTCATCATAGACTCTACATCCTGGCCAAGACAGCTCTACTAGTACAAGTCACAGAATTGGGTTTCAACCTCATTTTAGTTAATTCCTTATCTGGTGTCACGAACCACCCTCAACATGGCATACTTGAAATTTTTCATGTCATATAATACAGCGTGGCTTTTCCTTTTTCCACCTGTACCTTTCACAGGTTTATTTTTCCTTCTCTGCTGAGGCAAATTTTATTTCTATTCTTAACATTTAATTTTTAGATATGTTTAATTCAATTAAACTATCTGTACTATACTAATAGGATGCCTAAAGAACTGAGAGCCTTTCAAGTACCCTAAATTGTAAATGGATTAAAAATAATTAATGCCTCTTTAACCTCCTTTTATGACTTGGCCATTAGTCATATGTACGCATGTTGTGTAAAGCTGAATCCACAAATAAGAGCATTGAGCATAAGAGGATATGTCCATTCTGATTTTTGGCCAGGGGTTTCTAAAGACCTTCACCCTCATTTCAGAGATGCCCACACTGTCTCTGGCCCAGCTGAAACAGCATTTCCATAAACACAGCTCTGGTCTTCATCTAATACTGTCTTTTAAAACAAGCGCCTTTGTTTAAAACTAAATGATCAGGCCAGTTTCCAAGGTCATATAAAAATGATGACTATGTCAACAAACCAGGGACATTAATTTAAAACAGGGTGGCAAAGTACTTCTTTTAATTATATGTGTGCAAGAAATCATGGGGGTAGTCTCTAATGAATTCACAAGCGGTAACTATTAGTTGGAAAAACCATTCAAGTTAATAAAATTTCAAAAGAAATCCACTTACTTGTTCAAACTCATTCTTTTGAAATTCTTCAAATCCGAAGATGTCCAGAATCCCAATGCCCCACGTCTGTGAGCTGAAATGGAACAGGACACAGTGAATGGGCATCCTTAACCCTGCCCACGGCCACTTAGCATGTCATTGATAATCCAAAGTGAAAACATGCAAACAATGATCTTAACCTGGTGAAAAACTGAAGATCAGGAGGAAAAGTTTTCTTTGAATGCTTCGGTTCAAACACAGACTCGTTAACAAAAATGCGTTTGAGATCTAAGGACAAACTGCAACAATAAACGGATGGTTTAATAACATCTGCTTCTCTGAAACACTTTCTGTCTCCTTCGACCAGACCTGCTTCCTCCTGCGGGTCTCCTCAGCTAAAGCTTGTGCCTTGCCAGGCTACCCCAGAAGCAAGTCCAGCAACCTCTCCATCACACGTAAGCACAACGTGCGCTAACCCCATTAAGCCACACGCACCTTCTTTCACAGATTAAACTGCACCACTCCAAAATTCACGCTGTGCCTCAAAGTGTTCTTGTAAATAAAGAAGAACCGTGAAGATGGTGAAACGCGGGTGCAAAATGCAAAGGAATCCGGGTAAAGACTTCATTCTCCCGTGTAAACGATCATCCTCAGAACTCGCTCGTCCTGGACGGTCAAAGCACAGACGCTGGCCACCTCGCTCTATCAGCCCCTGTGTCCCGTCCTGCATCCTCTTTGGACCACCCCGCCTCTTCCCAGGACATCATCTTTGTGATGGGCACACACGTAGTGAGTGAGGAGAGGAGGGGAGCCTTGCGTGACCCGGCGACCCTGACAACCTGGATTCTGCGGGGCTGTGCGGGCAGCACGGGGTGGGGTGGGGTGTACCCCTGAGATGCTTCTGGAACACTGGCCAGCCCACCCCTCACGTTAATGTCTCTGTCCAGCACATCTGCAGGGGGAACGCGGTCCGCCTTTTCCGCCAGTGGGAGGGACGGTCCCTCACCACGATGCTGCTCCCTGTCTCATCGCCAGTCTCCGTGCCGGCGCAGAGGGTGCGGGTTTTGCTTCTGTTTGCTTGGTCAGGCCGCATGGCTTGCGGGATCTTAGTTCCCCGACCAAGGACTGAAGCTGTGCCCCTGCAGTGGAAGAGTCGGGGGAGTCCCGGGGCGGACGCGTTGCTCTTGTTTCTACGCTGCTTGATTTGTCTGAACTGCAGAACCACCGGGGCCCCCAGTGCCCCTTTATGTGCCTGCGCTGTGCCGCCACAAGCCGAAAATAATCATAATACTGAGGGGCCATCATGTCACTCACATGGCCATTCTTTTTCCTTTAAAAACAAGATAGAGGAATGACTTTGCACTACCTTGTCTCTATTTACTGCCCATAGTACACACATGAGCTTCCTAATTAGGCGGGAGAGCATTTTTAAAGCCCTGATACGAGCATCATGTGGCAAAGAGTGTGAGTCAGTTAAGGAATGAGCGTCTCTAGGTAACTGATTCAGTATTTTAGAAGAAAAAAAATAAAGTCTTTCCCCCTGTGCCCAAATAAACTCTACATGGTTTAGTGAGTCAAAAGCTAGAATAGGAAGCCATAAACACATATGAGAAAAAAAAGTGACCATTTTTTTCTCCTTGTTTTCGGTTCTGCGAAATGTCAAAGGAAAACATTCAACAGTATGATTATGCAAATACTAAATTCTTTTGGAGGATAAATAGTATAAATGCAATTAAATTCTGTTAGAGGTCACTATTATTTTAAAATAATATTTTCATAGTTTTTTGCATCGTCTTTCACCCACCCTGCCTCTTTCCACGCCACCTTTATAATGTGCATAAAGGTGCGTCGGGGATGAAGCTCACTCAGTGGGAGCCGTGGGGCTGAGGTTTAGGCTGACTTGTCACTTTGCTGTGCGTGTGTGTTTTCCATGTAATGAACTGCATCGTTTCTCTTGTAGAAGACTAGTGATGAAGCTTGTCAAGTTTTGGAGTTACTCCATCTTCCTAAGGATCCTGATTCAAACACTTTTTAGTTGGCTAACTTTGGCAAAGTCATTAATACCTAAATTTTCTGAGCTGCAGTTCCATCATCCGTAAAACTAAGAAGATAACAAGTCATATTTATCCAGCTAGACATTTCCTATGACAAGAAGTGAGCTAAAGAAGGGTCTAGGATGACAGCTGGTACAGTGGGTTTCCACTCACTGAAAGTTGCTTTAAGAAAAAGTTGTTTAAACGTGCTCTAGAAGTAAAGAGGGTGGCTAACAGAAGAAATATAAACGCCAACTCAGCATAGTAAAATGTCAATCTCATGAAAATTGCAAAAGAAATAAAATTCTGAAAAACTATGATAAGAAAGATATTCCCGAACACTTTTGTTGGCGGCTGAAATTGGCAGGGCCTTCTTAAAATATGACTTCCTTACATGGCATAAAGCTTTGAAATATTCATATCCTTTGAACCAGGACTTCCATAAGTAGGAACCAATACTAAGACAATGATCAGAAATGCAATTAAAGACAGAGTGATGCCTATTGTTATTGTAACTACAGTTAAACAACAAAAAGAAGTAACAGATACCCCACTCTAACGACACAATTAATTAAACAACACGCATCATAGGAGGGATTTAGTGAAACTGAGAAGTTAATAGAAATCAATACATAAATTCTGTATAAATAAGCCCTATTGCATGTCTAGAAGACCCAGAAGGAAGTACAGTCCGCCTGAGAAGAAGACCTAGTAATGTCTTCGGTGGTAGACCCAGAGGTGACCTCTGAACGTTTACAACGCTCTACGTGTGTGAGCGTGCCCAGCCACTCAGTCGTGTCTGACTCTCTGCGACCCCATGGACTGTTGCCCACCAGGCTCCTCTGTCCAAGGAACTCTCCAGGCAAGAATACTGGAGTGGGTGGCCATCTCCTGCTCCAGGGGATCTTCCCGACCCAGGGATCGAACCCGCAGCTCCTGCAGCGTCTCCTGCACCGCAGATGGATTCTCTACTGCTGAGCCACCGGGCTATTACAATTCCATCATTAGCCTGTGCTGGAAAGACATGTGATTGAATGCACAGCGGTCACCTTCTGAGCTGGTGGAGGAAGGGGAACTGCAACCTTCAGGGCAACGGCGCCCAGCAGAGGCGGTGAGGACAAGGGCCTGGCTTTCCAGGCACGGGAGGCGCATCAGGGACCCTGGGAGTCAGGAAAGAGCAGAGGGGCTTCCTGACAGTCAGGTGCCGGCCCAGGGCACGGCTGGTCACTGCCACCCCGCACCAGGGCCTCGCCATCAGGCTCTCAGGTCCGACCCCCCAGAAGGGCTCCTGGCTGCCTGGGCAGCGGGGCTCCAGCAGCGAGAGCCTGCAGTGTAGACAGAAGTCAGGAGGAGGAGGACAGCCACGAGTGGCCAGACCTCGGCACATACTCTTCCCCGCCTGTAACAACGGGGCTTTGTGTGGACAAACGGGATGCCAAGGCGGCGAGCTGCATGTGGGTGAGCACGGTGCTGATCCCGGTTCAGATTAGGGACAGGAAATTATTAATTAGTAACATAGTGTACGTAGCATGCATTTGGTTGAAAGAACACTCCTTTCATTTATTCACATTGCATACATACCAAATTCCAAACTACATTTGTTTACAAGATAAACTGTTTAAAAAAGATGGAGAGAAAGGAAGAACTATTTTCAGGAAAAAAAATTAATCCAGGTTTAATGCATTTTAAGGATTATTTTTGCAACTACTGACAGACAAACGTGTTTGCTTTTTTTGTTTGTTTGTTTTAATCTATTTCAGCATTTATGACTGAGTGAAATTTTGTTTTTCAGTGACTCAGTCATGTCTGACATTTTGGGACCCCAGGAACTGCAGGCTTCCCTGTCCTTCAGCTTCTCCCGGAGCTTGTTCAAACTCATGCCCATTGAGTTGGTGAGGNCTGCAGGCTTCCCTGTCCTTCAGCTTCTCCCGGAGCTTGTTCAAACTCATGCCCATTGAGTTGGTGAGGCCATCCAATCATATCACCCTGTCGTCCCCTTCTCCTCCCGCCTTCAATCTTTCCCAGCATCAGGGTCTTTTCCAATCAGTTGGCTCTTCACATCAGGTGGCCAAAGGATTGGAGTTTCAGCTTCAGCATCAGTCCTTCCAATGAACATTCAGGACTGATTTCCTTTAGGATGGACTGGGTTGATCTCCTTGCTGTCCAGGGGACTCTAGAGAGTCTTGTCCAGCACCACAGTTTTGAAAGCATCAATTCTTCAGTGCTCAGACTTCTTTATGGCCCAACTCTAACGTCTGTACACGATTACTGGAAAAACCATAGTTTTATGTGACTGCTATTGCAATAGCTGCCTTGGCAGGAGGGAGCCAAGGGCCTGCAGCCAGCAAAATGCCCGTTCCATGCGGCAGTCAGCAGTGCTGTCGTTTCACTTATTGATATCTCGACTCGTATTACACAGGCGTTTAACTCAACATCCAATTTCTAGCAAGGAGGAGCAGACAGAGGTCATCAGATGAACCGGGATTCAATCCGTTAGGCAAAATTAACATATTAATGAGATGATCTGCTTTAGTTCAAATTCTGCCCTAGAAATCTCCTGAGGGTTTTCTTAACGGTTAACAAAAATGCCTACCCCGCATCGACTCATTAGTAAAATGCACCACTTTCGATATCAGACAAAACGCTAAATGCCAGGGCATCTGTCTGACTTTGATTTGCCTTCCAGGCCTGTGGGTATGAGAAAGGGGGAAGCCTGAATTAAAGAGCATGTCCTCTTTGGAACACGGATGTACTAATTTTATTTGGGTAGTGAGGTTGGGGGATCTACCCACATCAGGTTTTGTCCTCAGTCATCTCCAGGCAAGGAGGTGAACTGACAGTTACCTAAGTAATTCAAAGTCAGTTTAGGAAAGAGATGAATCCTGTTTGGCACAAAACCCTCAGATGGAGCCAGAGCTGAATCAGACCCTGTGGCTGATGGCTGACGCGTCAGACCCCAGACGGGGTAAGAAATAGGAACATCCTAGCATTGTTTGCAGTGTAGAAGGCTGATTCAGAGTTCACCCCCTGCCATAAAACAGGGGGCCACCAGATATTTGGA